CCCCCCCCCCGGGGGGTGGGGGGAGGAGATGGCCATACCAGAACCCCTTCTCCTCCATTCTCCTCCAGGGATCTTGGGCACAAACGCACATGCACACAGCATGAGTTTCAAGTCACTGGATCTGGGACTCGAACCATCGTTGGCCATGTGGGAGTCCAGTGACATAACCACCACACCATCTGCTGGTCCCTAGTCATTTAATCTCTTTGAGTGAATTTCTATCTATAAATTAGAGCAGTAGTGGCAGGCTCTTTTACTTTATAGAGTTGCCATAAGTGTTAAACGAAATACTGGAAACAAAATCATTTTATAAAATAAATGACAACTTGTAAAAGTGTGAAGTTTTATATGTGTGAGCAAATAGAAGTATCTCATTACCTCCAAGCCTATGGATTGTTGCTGATTCATTGTCTTTTCTCATGTGAAGTGAAACAAGAGCCTATTTTATGCCTGACCAATCATTTTCAGTATTTTGGATACTGAATATCATTCCTTAATGGTTGAAGATGGAACAGTAACAATCAGTGTAAATGCCTCCTGCTAAAGTAATATCTTCTATTTTTGTAACAATCCAGGCATTTTTTCCCTTTTACAGGAAGGCTGAAATTGCAATGAATATGGGTGAAACGCGTATTATTTCTAGTGCTGTTCTTTCAGCCATAGATGATGACTCACCCAGGGAGAAGATTTACTACGTATTTGAAAGGCTTCCCCAAAATGGGCAACTTCAGCTTAAGGTTAGTGGCCTTTTTACTTTTATTTTCCAACCTATGTACATGCTGTAAATTTTCTCAATACACACTTTTCTATGATGAAGTTTACTGTCTAATAGCCATGTATTTTGCCCAGAAGTAGAAAATTTAATTTTCTTAGCCCAGGATAAACCAATACTACTCCTCTAAATCTTCTTAGTCAATGCAGGGTAGATTCAGTAACTTGAAAGTTCTTCATTGATCTTCTCTATTGCGTTTGTCCCTAAATTCTGAGGGAGAATGCAGAATTTTTAAGAGAATGCAGGTATCTTTTGAGGTATCTTTATTCTCATCATATTTTTAAAGTTCATTCGTTTCTTCTATGAGGGAGAGAGATAGAGAAATAGAAGGGGAAGGGGCACTTAACAGGATCTTCTGGCTGGCACCACAGGGAGACCTCAGGACCCACACACCCAGGACCTTTCGCATGTGACTCTAGGTGTGTCACCACCACCTAGCCCCATTCCT